GAGGAGGCGCCGCCGCGGAGCCCCCGGACGCGACCATGTCGGAGGTGCTGCCCTACGGTGACGAGAAGCTGAGCCCCTACGGCGACGGCGGCGACGTGGGCCAGATCTTCTCATGCCGCCTGCAGGACACCAACAACTTCTTCGGCGCCGGGCAGAACAAGCGGCCGCCCAAGCTGGGCCAGATCGGTCGGAGCAAGCGTGGTGAGTTCTCGGCCCCCTTCCCGGACAACCCCTTTCTCGGGCGCTGCAGCCTGGTGGTGGCTTGCGGGGGGTCTCCCACCACAGGAGGTGGTTGGGACGACTGCAGTCGCCTCCCGCAGAAGTGGGGGATCCCGCAGTGCGGGTCTGCCTAGGGAGGGCCGCGGAAACGCGGTTCCAGCCTCAGCCAGATCCTCGGTGGGGTCACCCCGGGGGCGTGGCGGTTTCTAGCTGCAGTAAGGGCTTGAAGGGTTATATCCGGGTCCTCACCCGCACCAAAGTTTGCTTTTTTTTAATTTACGCCCCCCCTTTTTGCGCAGTGTAGTCGCAGCTGCATTCTCTCTACAACGGTGGGGGGGGAGGGGTCCCAGGGCTCCCCAGGGGACATCGCGGGGAACTGCCGGGGGAGGATCCCATTCCTTCGGGAAGGCGATGGGCGCGTTCAGGTCGCACGGGCTTTCTCATTGTTACTGGGCAGGGGGAGGGGGTTTGCCAAGCCTGGCCTCTTGGCCAGGGAGCTGGAAAAGCCCTGGAGAGCCGAGACACTGAGAGGCTCCAATGGGTGCTCGAGAGGTGCGGGGACAATGAGGGAGACCGACGGCTGCCGGGGGAGACCGAGATGCCGAGACAGAGGGGAGGGGGCGCGCGGGAGACCGAGGGAGACAGAGACCCAGACAAAGCTCCAGAGAGGGAGCTGGAGGGGGAAAGACAGCGAGCCAGGAACGAAAGTGAGGGGAGGACAGAGAGGCAACCTAACAATGAAGGCGACCGACACCCCAGAGAGACCGAGTCCTCAACTAGGAACTGTCGCGCCGAGGTACTGCCGGAGGGACCGAGAATGGCGAGGGGAGGTAGGGACCAGGCGAGGTAGGGACCAGGAGAGGCAGAGACTGCGAGAGGCAGAGCCCCAGGCAGGGAGCGAAGAGAGGCTCTGACCTCTGCGGCGGAGAGCGGAGCGGCTGAGTCGCGGACCCGCCCGGAGAGGGTGGCGGGAAGGGTGCCCCGGGCCAGGCCCGCACCCTCCACCCGCTGCGAGCGGTGGGAACCAGCCTCGGCGTCCCCTGCTGGCTCCCTGCACCTCAGCACCGAGCCTTGGTCTCCTGCACTGCGCTCGGGACATCCCTGGGGTCCCAGAGCTCCCTGAGACCTCGGATTTCTCTCCCTGAGGTTCTCAGCTTGGAGCCTTTTTTACAAATAAATGCACCGCAGGGTTGGGGTGGACGCGGCCAGCACGGTCCCAGGCCCTGCTGGAACCCTCTCGGCTTCCTTTTCTCAGAGCCCAGCTGGGTCGCAGGCTGGGGATGGGGGGTGGGGTGATTCTAGGAAAAGCTGCCAAAGGACCCCCGGCAGGGGCAGAAGAGTACCGGGCTGTGTCACTACCCAGTGAGTCCTCCTTCCTCGCCTCCCCCCACGCCATTGGACGGGACGTGAGACGTCGGAGATCCCTCGCGAGGCCCAAGCGTGCTCACCTCTCTTTTCCCCCCTTTTTTGCAGTTGTTATTGAAGATGATAGGATTGATGACGTGCTGAAAAATATGACCGACAAGGCACCTGCTGGTGTCTAACTCCCCCAAAGACAATGAGTTAAGGGAGAGGATAAGAATGAGAACGGCGGTAACGGTTATTGGCAAAAAGCATGAAAAGAGAAAGCACTTTGAAATTTATTACTAGCTTGCTCCCCACGATGAAATCGACAACCTGTACCTCGTGTCAGGCGTGTCAGGCCGGGAGACAGATGAGGCATGAGAAAGAAAGAGAAGGAGGAGAAGGCCCTGGGCTCCTCTGCAAAAATAAAAATAAAATAAATACATAAAAATAAAAATAAAAAGTCACTATACACACACACACACACACACACATATAAAGAAATAAAAGAAGTCTCAGTTGCAGCTATTTGTCAAAATTACTATCCATTTCTTTTTATATACAGTGAATATTGCGCAATTATAGATCTGGATTTTGAACCACTTAATGAAGCGGCAACACCGGGTGTTTCGAGGTGTTGGCATTCTTCGCTGATTTGGCTGTTCCCAATGTTTACATTATTTAATCCTGCAAAAATGATTCTGTGCACTTGGATGTGAAATGCTGTCCAGTTTTTTTTTTTTTAATGTTGTTATCCTCGGATGTACAAAACAAAATCAGAAAATTATCTCTGTAGATATTGTTTTATTTTGGTCATATTTTGAATTGATCAGGAATGTGTTTAAAACAAGAGAACTTTTCTAAGGAATGATACAGAGAAAGGATCCTTATTTTATTTTTAAATGAATTGTAAAGCTTGTGTTTCTTTGTTGCTGAAGCTATTTGCCCAAGTTCATGCAAATGGACACATTTTATATGTCAGAAAAAAAAAACACATGAAAAACAGAAAAAAATGCTCGAGCTTTTTCTAACCTCCCTCTGCAGTCTGTTGTGTGAGCAGCCTGTTTTTTTCCTCTAATATTGTGTCAGTTTATTCTCTTTAATGGACTGTAAAAAAATGTAATCACAAGAGTGCCAAATATCTTGAAATGCCAAAAGGCATTTTGGTTTCTTTTCTTTTCCCTGTGCTCTGAGTCCACGTAAAGGAATGCTTGGAGTGTCTTTTCTGTTATTTATAGGGATTCTCTTAAGGCACACCAGCTGCCTGTTTTGCATGGTATTTGCAAAAATGCCTCTTGCGTGAGGAAATCTTTTACCATTTTTTGTTTGCAACTTTGGACCTCAAGAGGGTTCCCTTCCCTTCCCTGTCCCCTCTTTTCTTAATTCTATACTCTATGTTGCACCTTGAACCAGCACACAGGGCTATTTCTCCAATGTACAATAAAAGAACTGTTCCTGTGTCTCCTTTTTTCCTCTGCTTTGGTTTTGGGGAACTTGCTGTTTGCCTGCTCTCTGCAGACAGTAAGGAGGAGACTGGCTTTGGTGGCTTTGGTCTTCCAGGCAAAAGGGCAGTGGGGAGGGCACTGAGGGTGGGCGCGGGTGGGAGGAGAGACCGGACGCTGGATGGGGTTGGCACAGCCATCCCAAAGGGCGAGTTCATTCAATATTGGACTTGCGAGTGGAGTGCCCCCTGTGCCCAGGTTTCTGCCATCCCTAGCTGGCTGGGGAGGAGGGCTAACATGCTGGAAGGCCATCAGTCTTGTTAGAGCAAACCCCAGCTACTTGACTTCCTAGTTCTGTGCACTTGAGCAGTTCCCTGAACTTTAAGTCTCAGTTTTCTATTCGGTAAAGCGGGGGATAATCAACTCCAGCCTCAGGGCTGTTGGGAAAATTCACACAGCACCCAGCGCATAGAGACACTCAATATCAGGCCACTAGATGCCATTTCATCCCTCGCCAAGGGCCACTTGTCCTAAAAGGCAGGGCTGAGGCTGAGCTGTGTTCTTCCCTGCTCTTCACCTTCCAGAGCTCTTAAATCCCTGCTTAAGGGATGAGCCCATTCTAGAACCCCAGGGCCAGGAAGTCTTAGGCACCCCTACTTAGCAGCCTTCTTCCAATCACCACTTGAAAAGGCTTGTTATGAAAACAAAAACCAACTCAGTCCCTGGTCAGGCTTGGGGCATTTAAAGGTGGAACAGGTTCCTGGGAGAGGTGGGTGGGGAGCAGGCTTTTGTCTGAATAAAGGCCAGGAGAGGTTTTTCTCCTGTCATGCGTCTAGAAGCCCCGGTGCCGGTGCCGGGAGCTTTTAATGTGTTGTTGTAAAACTGTCAGCTACAGAGTCACAACAGAGCTCACAGTGACAGGAGACTGCAAGTGACTCAGACAGCAGGTAAGAAGCCCCAGGAAGGGGGAGGGAGGGGCTCCAGAGACCCATGGGGAAGGGAACCGTGTCTCATCCCCCTTCCTAGGCAATGGAGCCCCTGCCTCAGGGGACCCCAGCAGAGAGCTCCTCATCCCAGCAGTTGTGTGTGACAGTGGGTGAGCCAGAGCTGCCGCTGCTCACAGGGTGACTGGGAATGCCAGCTTGGTTTCTCCGGGCACGTGACCCCCTTTCCGAATCTGACTCTTCTCCCTGCTGACCCCAGAGACTCTCAGCACTTGGGAGCTGCTGAGAAACCATGGAACTCCCAAATGCCCAGTGCTTTCCGAGAAGGCTGAGCCTACCACGCGGTTAGGGGCTGGGCCCACCTGTTCAAACTTCAGCCTGCCAAGAGGGCAGGAGCCATGTGAAAAGATTCTTTCAGAAAGTACGGTTTCTGTCCGCACCCAGGAATAATTACTGCTTACCTAATCAAAGCACCGTGCAATTACAAAGGGCTCTCCCTTCTGGTCTCTGACGCAATCGTCCCAGCGACCCTGGAAAGCCATAGCTTAGCCTTCAGTAGGTGAGGAGGTTGAGGCCCCAGAGGGGCTGAAATGCCCGTGTAGCATCTGCATAATGGAGTGTTTACCCTGTGGCAGGCTAACGGCCTTATGAAAGACCCACAGGGCGTGGGAAGCTCAAGTACTTCGCATTAGGCCGTCAGCTAGGACGCTGCCGCAGCAGTGTGGGAATCCAGAGTCCACGCTCCAGGATGGAGATGCAGAACCATCCAACCCCGGCCCAGCCTCAGTCCCAGCTGCAGCCTTTGCCCTTCAGCCTTGAAGGTCCTTTTGTTGTTTTGCTGTTCTGAGGCTCTGCCTGTCTCTGGCTATGCTGCACAACTGACAACTGTGTGAGGGGTCAGGAGGGAGGCAGGGCTTGGGTGTGGTCAATGAAGGCCTGGGGCTGCCCCCTGCTGGGAAGGGGTGTCCTGGGTGAAGGTTCCAGGTCCGTTTTAATAAGTGATAT